CGGGGTCCTTCCTCAAAGGGACCCGGCCTCCCCTTCATTCCAGGGGTTGTGGGTCTCTAAACTGACTCAAGTCTGGTAATTGATTGAGAGGCTGTGACTCTGTATTCTGGTGATTCAATCTAGGCTGCTGTTCTTGTAACCTAGAATTCTTCTGTCTATACAATCAAGTACATATTTAGTAGGTTTGTAATGTATTTCAGTACTAGGAATACCATGACTAAGTAGCCAATACCATAATTCCACATGAGTCAGACTATTCTGATTACTGTTCTGACTCTGCTGTCCATTATGGTAACCACTCCCACCTTGCCTTTGTCAATTAACTGCTGCCACTTGTCCCGTATTACCACTGGGTCCAGTCAGCCCCTATGTAGTTAAGTGTCTTAGTTTAATTAGGGCAGTTCCCACTGTCAAATCAGGTTTACATAAAATAGCAATCACAGCAGTCTTCAAAGATGCTGGAGCTCCCTGCACAAATTTATTTCCCACTGTCCTGGTGAAAGGCATGTCTTCTGGACTCTCCATTTCTCGCTCTAGGGGTCTAAGCTGATAAATCCATTTTAACAGGCCAATTTCCCTAAGCCTCTGGATACCTTCTTCTACATTATGCCAAGGCAGGTCTGGTACTTCAACTTGACTTAAGGTAGGCCACCGCATAATCCATGCCTCAGTAAGCCAACCAAATAAACTATTAGATCCTTTCCTCACCACTCAAGCTGAAACATTGAATGAAGAATCTGTACTTAGTGAGCCTAAATCAATAAACTCAGACTGATCCAATCTTACATTCTTTGCCCTATTATCCCACACCCTCAGTAGCCATTCCCATATATATTCTCCAGATTTCTGTTTCTACATGTTAGCAAGATCAAGTAGGTCTTTTTGGGTGTAGCATACCACCTCCTCAGTCACACTTTGTATTTCACCTTTTAGGGCTTGCTTGGACTTAACTTTAATTATAGGTCTAGCAGCAACAATCGGTCCTTGGGGTAGTTCCTGAGAACATTCAGGAATGTCTTCCATGGCCTCTGCCTCAGGGAATGACCCAGCAGGAACAGCTGGGCTAATCCCTTCAAATTGAGGTGGAGGGGATAATGGTTTTACAATAATCCCTTCAGATGGGAGGGATTCAACAGAATTTACAGGCTCCATATCCTGATCTTCCTGGCTGTCTGCCCATATGTCCCCATTCCAGGTTTCAGGATCTCATTTTTTCCCAATCAATGCCCTCACTTTAATTTCAGACACCATTCTGGATTGGTAATTTAATTGGCATTGTAATTCAGCCACTCTTTCAATAAGACTCTGGGTTTGGTTTTCGGCAGTATCAGCTGTTACTAGAAGAAATAAGGCTTTGTTTCAGAGCACAACTGGAAATAATTGAGGTCTTTTATGCATGCTTAAGCTGTGACTCAGCAGTCCTAAGCTCATCTTGCTCTTTCACCACTTTGTCTAGTGTAAGTAGGACCAATCAGCCAGCTTCCTTCTACTCCTCATGCTGACAAAATTGCAGAGAAATATCAAATATGTGATCACTCAGAGCCTCACTTCTCACAAGTACTCGATCTATTGGTAGTACTGTTTTGCATATGAATGTTGCCACCTCACATCACGGATTAGCAGGGCCCTCTTTACTAACAGAGGCAAGGTCTTTAGTGCCTTTACCATAATCAAATTGAAGAACCATTTTAGGAAGCCCATCCTTATGATTTTGTCTCTCTAGAACCACTCCCAGTACCAAATTCTTTTCTGGTTAACAAGTGCCGCTCTGACAAGAATATACCACAAATGGGATGGCTTAACAAACAAGAGTTTATTCTCTTAAATTTGGAGGCTTTACATCCAAGTTCAAAGTGATAGGCTCTAGGGGCTGGGTGAAAGCCCCTCAACCTAGTGGTCCAGCTCTGCCTCCTGCTCCTGGCCCACTGGAGCTAGTGGTGTTTCTTCACTCAGACAGCCGCTGGCTGCTGAGGCTGAGAATCCCAAGGTCAACAAGTAAAAAGGCACAGTCCCAATGTTACCAAACCACACGACAGGCCATTAATTTAAGTCCATTGTAAGTCCCAAGGTTGACAGAGCATGGCAGGCTGCTGAACAATGACATGGCTACATGCAGGGTCCAAGCATGCCATAAGCTGGAGACTATCCCCAAGGCTTCTCGTTATATATAGGAAGTAGACCACATTCCCTAAGGCAGCTACTCAGCTGCTCACAGTAGATTCCACCATGGAGTTGATTACCACTGTCATCATGGGTAATACTACATCCAGTTCCCCAGCCACTCAACCATGCCCAGCCAAGTTGACACACAAATTGAACTACCACACACACTAAAATATGATGATAATTTTCATGCTATCAGAAGGAAATACTTATTTTATAAAAAAAACTAAGTATCTGAATTTCATCCTGAAGTGAGCCAAACTACAAAATACATTTCACTCTTAATATAGTTCATTTTTATGCAGTTTTCATGTGTCAGAAGTCAAATTATGTCTCTCACATATTAAATATTTCTGTATTAAAAATGCATATAAGAGTTCAGGATATGATATGATTTTCCCATAAAATAATGCTATTTTTTTACCTCTCAGAACAGTTTAAGATATATTTGGAATTTGAAGGGGAAAAAACACTAGAACATTCTGAGACTGTAATTTTAAATTTACTTTTTGCAAAAGGAGTCAAATTTGGAAAATTAGGATGGAACTTTATGTTATTGACTATTTCTAGTTTTCTCACAAGAAAAAGAGGCATTTATTTTTTTTTCTTTTTTCTCTTTTTTTTTTTTT